AGAAATTAAGCTTTCAAACGATGTATGGCATGCCAGTAGTGAAAACAATAATGAAGGTGAAAATACAGAGTGAAATTTTTTGGGGGAAAATCGCCCGCCGGCGGGCGGGTGGATGGTAATTAAACCCTGATCCTGTCAGATCTCAGGAGCTCAGCAGGGCCGGGCCTGGGGAGGATTTGGATGGGAGACCGCTGGGAAAATCAAGAACCACAGGTTCTTAAGGTCACAACGACAGTTTTTGCGACTGGCTGAGGACCAAGCACTTGACACATGTAACCAGGGTTAAATCCAATCCTGTTATGTCAAGATCCAACCCAGCTTTTCCCCTATGCCACATGACATGTCACCACCCATTGCACCAATTATCCAATCATAATCTAGTAGACGGACTATAAAATGGTCCCTGACTTTTCACTCCTCAGTTGTGTGGGAAAGAAGCCAGGGGACAGAGCTCTGAGGGTCAGTACATCTGAACTTTTCCAATTTATATTCTCATGTTTCACCTTTTTAACCAGTGGCAGGGCATCAGGGCCTGCAAGGCCTTCTCTGCTGGCCTAAAAAAATATCTGAATCACAGACTGATGTTAATTATATTATTATTAAATAATTCCAAATGTTCTGTCTGCTTCCTTTCAGAGCTTTTCTGATTGTTGTGCTGCTTCCACACATGTATTTTTATATTAAAGCATTTGACCAATCACATTTCAGCCGTCACTTGTTGCTTGGCAGAGTCAAAGTCAAAGCAGTGTGCCTGACGCCTTCACAATCCGTTCTGCAGGCCCTCGAACTCAAAATACATGTCCATAAAACAGTTGCATCAACCAATCAGATTTTGAATTGGTATTGTCAGGGCCTTCTAACAGCGTACGACATCACAGGATTCAGACCTGCTGATTGGACAGTCAGAGAGCGGAGCAGCCGAAGCAGCAAACTGCAGCTGCAGCAGAACCAGGACTAAACATGGATCTATTAAAATAACTGGATACAGTATTGCTGCTTGTACCTGCCTCGAGTTGACATAGTGACACTCACTGGAACTACTTCTCTCAAGGGCTGAGAGATTTTTCTCATAGAGACAATGTAATCACAAACTGCTCGTGTTCGTCTGACAGGGACCTAAAACTTTCCAAAATGTCAGATTTTGTGGCGATTTTTACCTATTTTTAGATCATACATTTTTTCTCAGCTCAAAATCCTTCAGTTGTCTTAAAAAATGCTTTATAATGCTTCACTTGGTCAAAGCAATCATGTGATACAAGAGCCGGCACTCCATGTGTGCGTTCACATGCATTCGCGTGTGCCCGCGGGAGAAAAGAGCACTACTGCGCATGCTCGATTGGCCCACAGTACCTAGTCGTACTAGGCTAATCTGGGACCATGCACCATTGAACTCAGCCCTTTGACTTGAATGGGTGGCCATTTTGGAACCTGGGGGCTTGGGACTAAACCAGGACTACACCAGGTATAAACTAGTTCTAAATCAGGACTACACCTGGACTAATCTTGGACTTGAGCGAGAGTGAGAGAGAGTGTCCGCAAAGCGTGATCGTGTGACAGCTGCTCTAAGCACCATGCGGCGCGGAGTGTTGTGCGGCCTTGTGCGGAGCCAAGCCCCATGCGGCGTGGAGCACCGGCCCCGGCACGGACCTTTCGTCTGCGGTCACTTGACAGTCTACGCAGGCGCACCTTTGGGCCAGTCCCAACAAACAGTCCTGGTTTAGTTCCGGTTTAGTCCTGGTTTAGCACCCCAGCGCAGACTGGTCAATTGCATTTCACTTTTCAGGACATTTATTTGATTTAGTGTTTGTTTGATTTGATTTTTAGTTGCTGCAGCTTTTGTATATATTGGGTTATTTCACTTATTTTTGTACAATACACATGATTCATTTTTCAACCATTCTGTTGTCCTCATTTACTGCCCCTGCCCTCCTGTAGTCCTACCTAGAGTCTTCTCATCATCAATCTTAGCTAATTACACTACATGGTTATTACATAGTTAGTTATTACATAGTAATAAGTAAACACTTGTTACACACACATTGCCTCGTGTGAAAATGGTGTGTGAGTGATGGTGGTGCTCAGAGGGGGTGATGGCGCAGATTGGCAGCCTGGCTTCCATCAGTCTGCCTCAGGGCAGCTGTGGTGGTGCTACCAGAAATATAAAGAGCAGAGCAGCCTAACATCAACTTTGACTTACATAAGCATCAGGCTTATTCTGTTTTTGACAATAACCTAATCTGATATCTAACCTATAATTCCTGACCCCTACAATGGTGCAACTCAGGATTTATCATTACAACTTTACAGCCAAAACAAACGCACAGTAGGCCACGCACAAAGTAAAGTTGACACGGTTTTCTCCAGATCGAGGGCGCTTCGAGAGGCTCTGGGCTCCTGGCGGGAAGGACCGTAACCTGAACCTCTTCTGACTCGGAGGAGCGCTGCTGAGCCCCGGTCCCAAACACACAAACACACAAACACGCAAACACACAAACACACAAACACACAAACACGCAAACACACAAACACGCAAACACGCAGACACACAGACACAAGCTGCGTGAGAAGGGAGGAAAAGAGGAATTTTACTGCCATCTACTGGTCAATCCCGGTACTGCTGTTTCACTTCTGGATGATTTGGTTTCTTCAGTTTCTCCAGAGAGCAGGATTGAGGAAGTTTTGATGACATAAAAATAACCTAATTGTATCTTTTATTCATAGGCCTACATTTCTTTAAAATGTCTACACATTTGTTGTTTGAATATTTAGTTGATGGACCACAGCAGAAAACACACACTTCTGTCCTTTTGCCCCAGAGCAACAATTAATTAATCAATCACCGCATTTATATAGCGCCTTTCAAGATACCCAAAGAGCTTTACAGATCATTATTCATTCACTCCACGATGTGGTGGTGGTAAGGTACTACTGTAGCCAAACTGGTGGAAGTGAGGCTGCCAATCTGCGCCACCGGCCCCTCCGACCACCATCATCACTCTCTCACCCACCACTTTCATACTAGGCAATGTAGGTGAAGTGTCTTGCCTAAGGATACAACAACAGTTTTTTTTTTTTTGCCACTGCCCCCTTATTCATAATTTATTATTTATAATTTATTAATATATATTTACTCTTTGTTATTATATTTATTGTGATGTGTGAGCTCCTGTGTCCAAATAATTTCCCTTGTGGATCCATAAACTTTGCCTAAGTCTAAAAAAAGCAATAGGAAGTTGTATCTTTTATTTATATGCCTACATTTCTTTAAAATGTCTGCACATATATTTTTATATTTTTAAATGCATCTTGATTATTGTAACAATTTCAACAATGTTTCATTCATGGAATATAACATTAAGTTTGCAAGAGAATTTAAAAACAAAACAGTATGCCATGTTTTAGGCTCATTATATATAAAGTTAGTAAGAACACGTAACTATTTCTACATGCATGATAAAATTGTGAATTTTAAACAGTAATAAAGGATTATGTAATATTTGATGGTAATGTATTCATCCATGTATGCAAATTATTTATCAAAGCAAACATCAAAGCTGCCCTAGACAGAGGACTAACTCTCCAGAATGTGAAACTGAGAAAAATGACTTCAAAGTTTCTGTTTTGTCCAGACAAAAGTATAATAGGCAGGGCTCCCAAAATTTGACAACTTGTTGCTATAATCAAGAAATATTTATATGTGAAAAATATTGAGCACAAAATTGACCTTTGACCCTTATTTGTCAGTTCCTGTTCTCTGCCTTTGTATCATGAGCCAAAAATAAGGAGTTGTGCAAAGACAAAAGGCAGAAACTGACATGATCATGATTTGGTTGATTTTGCCGAGACTTCCATCCATTATAAGAACATCTCACCAAGGTTCAGTCATCATGTGTTTGTTTGAAATGATCTAGAAGAGCTTTGGATTTCCTGTTTAGTGCTGATCAGGTGAAACAGTTTGACACAAGTAACTTTGCAGTATAGTGTGTACAGTATGAATAAATACACCAAGTACTTTCACACTGAAGATCATTTAAGTGTAATTGAATACAAAGGTTTATTTATTAACTATGTTAAGACCCTGTGTCATGGCCACAACAAAAACAAGGAGGTGAGAGGCTGGATTTGAAAATAAAATATAGTTTTATGAACTAAATCACAAACAAAACATACACTGTTTCTGTCTTTGGCCTTTGCACGACTCCTTATTTTTGGCTCATGATACAAAAGCGGAGAACAGGAACTAACGAAAAAGGGTCAAATATGCAAGATCATTTGTTCCATTAGACTTTGAATTTTAAATACGGCTTTTTATGATTTTTATTAAAATCTGAATTTTAGTTGCTGAAATTGAAGGGGACTTTTTCAATATGTTTAAAATTCAAAATGAAAATTTCACCTTTTAAATATTCAGCACATATATTTTCAAGCCCTCAAATTCAGCAGTCAAAATTCAGAGCGTAAAATTCACAGGGAAAGATTTCTCAACAAAGATCCAAGATGCCAAGGTAGAAGCAATCGATCCTGTGTGAGCGAGGAGGATAGAGGCTGTTTCCTAATGGCCGCTCTCATCTGTGGGCGGGGTTTACACTTAACAAATCAAAGAGATGAGGTTTGGATGAGGCTAGTTCTGACCAATCAGATCACTTACTGCACCATTTCATGCTTGTGACAAAATTAGATCGGATAACTTTGGATCGATTGCTTGTGCCTTGGCATCTTGGATGTTTGCTGCGAATTTCACACTCTGAATTTTGAATTGGTTTGAAAATACTTGTGCTGAATATTTTAAAAAGTGATTTTTTGTTTCAGAATAAAACAATTAAAAGCGGCCTTCTGCCTTTGTAGGGCAGCATGTATCTTCCATAGAAATATAATAAAATCTATATAAACTATAATAAAACTATAACAAATATGAAATAAAAGTTGCTATTATTATAGATCTATGGGATCCTCACACATCTAGGAACCTTTGTTATGAAATTCCGTTCCGCCCGGGCCGTTGAGCGCGCTGCACAGTGACACGGCCGCTTTGGGCACGCCATTGTAGACACTAGTTACTGCCGCTGTCATTCTCCGCCCTGTCGCCTGCGCTGGTTTGGTGTTTCATTCATTATTCCAGTGAAAGTTCCATAGTGTAAAGCCTCGTTTCACAATGGCTGACTCCTCCTGGGCGCAGGCCGTGGACGCGCAGGAACGCGAAGCTTCCGAATCGGTAACTGAGCGGCTAACCAACGCTAGCCCGGTCCAGTTCTGCTCTGTTTTTAATCAGTCCTCACGCCTTCCGCTTTTAGCACCCTGGAGGTGTTGTTGTTAGCCTCGCATGCTCTTTACTGAAGTGTACGCGGACGCATTTCTCTGGGTTCGCGTGTTTTGTCTGTGTTTCTGTTTCGTGTTGGTGGAATCGAAAGCGATGCGTGCTCAGAGCGTGACTAGCTTTAGCCCGTAGCCAAAATGATGCTTAGTGACTCACAAACGTAATCCTGCCCAGCCCTGAGCTTCTTAAAAGGTTTCCATCCTCGTTACTTTCAATTGTGACGCTTGCTGTATTCCTCCTGAGACCTGGTCCATTCATGTGTGTCCTTTATAGTGGACATTGAGTTGACCAGTCTACTACGGTTGGTCCAAAAATATATATATATTTTTTTAAGATTCTCTTGATTAGAACCGTGCATTTGGTTCCGTATCTGGTCAAAGTATTTTGGTCACCATTTTATGCAGATTAATTAGTAGGCATAAAACATGTGAATAATTTGTCATTTTATTCTGCAAACACAAACTGAAACTTGCATAAAAATGACTTATAAAGTCCATAAAAAGTGACTTAGAAAATCCAGCTCCACTGTGGCTTTGTCGGCATCACAAAAAATGTGTCTGTGCAGCAGCCTGCAGTAGAAACCGTTTCTGAACTTCATTCTTTGTTCAGCTACAGTTAAAATCTTGAATTGGCTTCACATCCTTTCAGCAACATCTTTGACACTTTCCTGGAATGCAGAGTTTTGTCACCTTCTGAAAGTCTGCTTCATCAGCCCAGTCTGCTGAGGAACTGTTCAAAATGTTTTTTGGCAGATCAACAACTTTGAAGAAACTCATTTTGTTTGTGGTGACAAAATTCCTGATCTGCTTCTCTTCATAATCTGCTTAATTAAGGGTGTCACGTCGCTTTGGTGGAACCTCTGAATCTTCCTTTTCTGTAATATTGTGAAGCATCAGCTTCTTCTGTTCTTCTGTCACACTGGAGTGGAAGAATACCAGAACAAACATTTCTTCACTGAAGTACCAAATATGTTACCCATAGCTGTTCGGGTGTTTTCTTCACAACTGAATGTTCACACTGTGAAGTTTCTTAAGGAAAACCAAATCTGCAGGTGGTTCAGAACTTCATGCAGAAACTTCATGCAACTTGAGCAACCTCTAAAACATCCAAACATGCTTTTACTGAAAGAGGACTGACTGTAGTCTGTAGACATTTGAAGTAATAAGTCCCAAACTAATTATTGACCATTTAAAATGGTGATACCATATTCAGTGTGTAGTGTAGTAGTAGTAGTTTATTTGGTCATCACCATAAAACGGAACATAGACTACAACCCCATGGATCATGACCGAAAGGGTTTAGACTGAAGTAAAAAGTACTTCTAATGCCAAACCCTATTAAACAATGACAGAATTCCAAGAAAGAAAAGCAGGTTATGAACTAACAAAGGTGACATACACAGCTGCTAAAATCATAGGTGTTCCCATGTCTCAAGTCTGCGATGCCATATTTATATTTTGATAATTGATTACTAATTAAGAAAATACAACAGTTGTTCATCAAATATGTTTTGTATTTTCTAGATTAACAGTCTCCAAATCAAAGATAAACCAGAAGAGAATGGTGAGTTTGGATAACATTTAATTTGGCATTATTGTTAGTGATGTGAATTTTCACTTTGGTTTGTTTATTTCTAATGTAGGCGCAGCTTCAAAAACAGAAGGAGAAGCGAATAACAAGACAGAGGATGAGGACAAAGGTGAGGGATTTGAACTGTCCCTATACAGTGCATTCCTATTATTCTTTATGATCTCATTGGTCTGATGCATTTTCTGTATTTCTGTGTGTGTTTTCCCAGAGGACAAAGCCGCACAGTCTTACCTGAACAAACTAATCCGGAGCAGTTTGGTCAACAACAAAAATGAAGTGGAAGTTTTACAGAAAGATCCAAATTCACCTTTATATTCCGTCAAATCTTTTGAGGAGCTCAGACTGTAAGTGAATATATTTTATATGTATTATCATATATCATTATGTTTATTCAGCTGGTGATTTAGTGAGTAAATATTCAAAAACTGGCCTCAAGTTCTCGGGACACAAGTTAAGGAGAAGATATTACACAAAATAGACTTTTTGGCACTTTCTACCATGTGTTTACACGTGCATTGGACAAAAAAGGAGTACATTTCTGGTGAGTAAAATTTTTTGGGAAGCTATAGTTCCAAAACCTAGTGTTAGGCCAATGTTGTGGAGTGTAAATAAAGTGTTTTTTATTATTGAGGTGTTAGAATCTGTATTGAGAATTTGAATCGTATCTGTTCCTTAGTATTGATATCACGCTTAGTGTCAGCGTTTAGGCAAGGTAGTGCAGCTGACGACCATAGTTTTGCGAGGATTCACGTGGTACTGAGGGATGGCCTCCTTAACTTGTGCTGCTAAGTGCTGCGGGAAACACTGGAGCTTGAAATGTTAGTATTGTGACACAAATTACAATTTCCTGTCACATTTTGACATTTGTTACTACCTGAATTGTCTTTTTAATGTTATATTTCCATATAACTTGCATATTTGATCACAAAACTGTGACTAGTTGTGTAATTAATAATTTAAGGAATCACAAAGCCTTTTTTATGTAGTTGTTTCTTACACATTTCTGTTTGTTTGTAGTAAACCACAGCTGTTACAAGGAGTGTATGGGATGGGTTTCAACAGACCGTCTAAAATCCAGGAGACTGCATTACCCATGATGCTCGCTGAGCCGTGAGTACCCCCCCCTTCTCCATCTAGGCCTCAGTGTCAAAAGTCAAGACTATTAGCAAAGTAGAGACAAAATGTATGGATATTCAAGTACAAATAAATCAGCAGGAACCACCTACATTTGAGAATACAATCAAATTGAAATGTGTCAACATGGACAACTAAAAATGAAGTCTATAATTTATATTCAGCGTGCTATACCTGAGACTGGTTGTTATCTCTGGCCCAAAGTTCTTCCCCACTTCCCTTCTGCATTCAGAGCATCCTAATTATTCAAGACACTGAGTTTATAAGCGCTTTTCACAACTTTCACAGAGCAGAGCGGAGTTTTGCCGTCACAGTAAAGATAACAAGTAGCATGCTTGGTTTGCACTTCTTGGTTTGTGAGCGATAAAACCACTTTATAATAATTTGATGCAGAGAGTACACAGTAGCTTTCATTTGACCATAAGAGCTCTTTTTTACAATATATCTGTACTTAGGCAAGACACATTCTCCTATATTATTTATAGAGAGACAGAGGAGCTCATTCTCCAACAGGCTCTTACACCAGTGCTCAAACAGTGAGAGATACAGGACTACATTCATACTATAATACTCCCTACAACTGTACAGCAACTCACCCTTATGGAACAGATAATACTCCCTACAGCTGTACAGCAACTCACCCTTATGGAACAGATAATACTCCCTACAGCTGTACAGCAACTCACCCTTATGGAACAGCTAACTCTGTCCTATCAATCATCATATCATCTTTGCACTGTCTTCCTTTGACCTCTTGTATATAGCTGAAATATATTTGTATTACTTATTTTCTATTTTGTTTTGACATATACAATTATGTTTTATTTGACTCCTGTCTCTTGCTCTTTTTTGCTACTAATTTAGAATTTATTATTACATTTACATTTTTTACTCTTTATTTTAATTATATTATATTGTGATGTGTGAGCTCCTGTGTCCAAATCATTTCCCTTGTTTATCAATACAGTTTGTTATTTTTACAGTTTAAAATACAGCTTTTAGCATTAGCATTTCAGACAAGACTGAAATCTGAACCATCAAACTAAAGAGTTTCAATGTATTTGAGAACATGTTTGTAGAGGTCTGAGCTACAGGGTTAGCAGCTTTTATATACAACAATAAACAGATCATATATTGTTTGTAGAGAGGATGTTGTTCCTTGAATAACTAGTACTGCAAACCTAGGACTGAATATTTAACAAAGCAATTCCTTTGTGTTGGTGCAGTCCACAGAATCTAATCGCACAGTCACAGTCTGGAACAGGCAAAACTGCTGCTTTTGTTCTGGCCATGCTCAGTCACGTGGACCCCAACAACAAGTGGCCTCAGGTTTGTACTACTTCTTTCTTTTACTACTACACCTACTAAACTTAAAGTGCATATGATAGGTTAGACTACATTGCACTAAAATATAGCTAAGAGAATTTTATTGAACATTTACCTATTTGACAGTTTTGATGAAGTTCATAATTTTAGTTCTTAGTTATTAGGCCTGTCATGATAATTACAATCAACTGATCATTCAAAACATGATGGAATAATAATTTTTAGGGTCAGTATTTATCATGGGGACATTTTTCTTTATCGTGAGAGGTCTGCTGATTGGACATGGGCAGTAGATATACACTGAGTGTTTGTTGTGTATAAATTGTCTGTGCAAACTGGCTGGAATTTTGCGATTACAGAGGTGAATTGGCGATCTTCTGTAGTTTTCAGTTTTGTTTTTTTTCTTTCCCCCAACTTCTCTCCACAAACTGTCACTTCACTGACTCTCTGATATGAAACTCTGATAAATACTGACCACAGTTACTTTCCCACCAAACCATATGTCTCAGGCAAGGCTGTAATAGCAAAAATGTATCCATGTGCTTTGTTCAAAACACTCAGTCAAATTCTCTGTTCTTGTGTTTAGTGCTTGTGTGTGTCACCTACGTATGAGCTGGCTCTGCAGACGGGGAAGGTCATTGAGCAGATGGGCAAACACTATCCTGAGGTGCAACTGGTCTACGCCATCAGAGGAAACAAGTGTGAGTTTATAAGAGTCTTAAAGTCATCTCAGCAAGAGACAAATGCTAGAATGATGATGAGGTTAGAGCTGTCAGGAAACTGCTCAGGCGGAGCAGATGAAAGGGTCAGATGGAACAGAGGACACAGAGAAAAAGGTCATATGGAGCAGAGGACACAGAGAAAAAGGTCAGATGGAGCAGAGGACACAGAGAAAAAGGTCAGATGGAGCAGAGGATGCAGAGGAGAGGGTCAGATGGAGCAGAGGACGCAGAGGAGAAGGTTAGATGGAGCATCATTGGAGGATCATTGTATTGTGTCTTGTCAGTGCCGAGGGGAGTGAAGCTGCAGGAGCAGATCGTGATCGGGACCCCGGGAACGATGCTCGACTGGTGCGCCAAGTTCAAGTTCATCGACCCCAAAAAGATCCGTGTTTTTGTGCTGGACGAGGCCGACGTGATGATCGCCACACAAGGACATCAAGACCAGAGCATACGCATACAGAGGTACAAGAGGAATGTGTTAATATTCGGCTCACATCTCCACCAACATGACTCTTATTTATCCTGGAGGAGGGTCCTCTCCTGCTTGTTTCCATGGAAATGTTGTTTCTATAATTGTTGTTAGCTATACTATTCCACAGTATGGTGTAAAACTTTTCTGTGTCCATGGATAATGTTCAAAAGTATGGTTTTAAGCTTCTATTTCCAGAGAAGGTTTCAGTGGTGGTCATCTGAACACTGGACACATCTGGAATCAAAACTTCTCCCCTAGTGGCTGAACTTGGTTAACTCAGAGTAGGATCATTCCTAGTACCTCATGCCATGCCATCATATTGAAAACGGCTTCTGGATGGAGCCTGAAATTATGTGCAAAATCAGTGTCCAGATGGCCACTGGTGAAACCCTCTCTACATTGTAATGTCCCCCTCTCCTCTGGCGCTCCTTCAGGATGCTGCCTAAGAACTGTCAGATGCTCCTGTTCTCTGCCACGTTCGAGGAGACGGTGTGGAACTTTGCTCAGAGGATTGTCCCAGAGCCAAACATCATCAAACTGAAGAGAGAGGAGGAGACGCTGGACACCATTAAACAGTACTACGTCCTGTGTAACTCTAAAGAGGAGAAGTTTGAGGCACTCTGCAACATCTACGGAGCCATCACCATCGCTCAGGCCATGATTTTCTGCCACGTGAGTAACAGCACTGTTCACATCACACTTCCAGAGGAGGGAGTCTCGATGCTCATCACTTCACTATATGTGATGCATAATTCGATTTTTTTCAGAGCTAAAAAGTTCAAAGTGAGAAATTCAATGCCATCTTAGTTATAACAGATATTATACTATAAACAGTTCTTCTTTTAAGACCAGTTATTTTATTTTTGTAGCTTTATTGGTTTTTGTTTCATTCATAATTCTTTCATTTCAGACGAGGAAAACCGCCGGGTGGCTGGCAGGGGAGCTGTCTAGAGAGGGTCACCAGGTGGCGCTGCTGAGTGGAGAGATGCAAGTGGAGCAGAGAGCGGCGGTGATCGACAGATTCAGAGAGGGAAAAGAGAAAGTGCTCGTCACGACCAACGTTTGTGCCAGAGGTACAGGAAAGGGATTTGTAGGGAGGGCATCTGGCAGATAGGGATATAGGAGGCTGGGAGGGGATCTGATACATTTTGTTCTCTTCTACAGGTATTGATGTGGAGCAGGTGTCCGTGGTGATAAACTTTGACCTCCCAGTGGATAAGGATGGTAACCCTGACAACGAGACATACCTGCACCGGATTGGTCGCACAGGTCGCTTCGGCAAGCGCGGCCTGGCCATCAACATGGTGGACAGCAAGATGAGCATGAACATCCTCAACCGCATCCAGGAGCATTTTAGTGAGTAGCACCACACACTTTTAGTACGCCCTGTCATTACCTGATTTGTGTCAGTCATGCTAGTTGTAGATTAAATATTTTAATTGAATAAGCCCCACCTTAATAAAAATAGATAAGAGTTCACTGCTAACAAACCTGAGCAAGCAGATCAGTCCAAAGAAACTCAAGTGACTCTAGTGTAGTATTTCATGTGTTTGGGGACTACAGCAGTGTCTTCAGTATGTCACAATTACACACATTTAAATTTTGCTTCCATTTGCACATATAAAGTTCCATTTGACTGAAATTTGAATCAGTTGTGAAAATTGTCTACATCTACTAATTGCTTAATCACATTTTGCCCAATAGCGCCCCCTGCGGAATGAAAATACATTTTGTATGGGGAGTTAAAATGTATTTTTTTTAGAAATTTTACACAAAATTGCTTTTGGTTCTCACAGTCAAAGCAGTCACTGAAAACCATGTTGTATTTTTAACCGTGTTGCCATGATGATGTTATTCTAAAGGGAGTGATTCCAAAATGTTCCATTAACATTAAAATAATTACGATTACTATCATGGAATAATGTAACATTTTGGACTTGCCAGTCCAATCAAGAAAGGTCAGTGGGATCCATGGTGTATATTTGATGGTGTTGCTAAGGTGATGCACAAAAGCTGCCATGATATCTTATTTTAAAAAAACAAAAAAACACTGGGAATTTTCTCTTCAGCTCATCCCCATCAAAAAGGTCTAGGATGTTGAATTTTGCATGGTGTTGCCGTGGAGATTATAATCCCCACAACAAGCCATAATAACACAGAGATAAATTCTTAGGAAGTGGCAGATTGGCCTGTGAGGGCTGTTCGATACCACTTTCGGCTTTAATTATATTTATTTGCGCCAAACGTTACTAACTTTGTCCCGTCTTCACAGATAAGAAAATCGAGAGGTTGAACACGGACGACTTGGACGAGATTGAGAAAATCGCCAGCTAAAGGGGCGGCCGCGTCCTATCTTAAAGGGACGGTCCCCTCCTCATGGCTCTCCATGGACTCACTGTTTTAAGCTTTTACTTTTTTAGATTCTGGAGAGAAAAAAAAAAAAATCAGTTTACACATACTCATGTTTCTGTCTCTGAAACATACCCCATTTCACTATTTGTGTGATTTAATAAAGTCTAGTTTTATTTTTTATTATTATTTTGTGGTGCTACTTTGGAATTATTTTTCCTAAGTTTGGGAATCAGGAACATTACACAATGCCAAGAGATCTTATTATGATTATAATGTGCCACAACATTTTTAAACTAAAAACCATACAAAAAGACTATCTTGGTCGAATCATGCCGGTTGTGCTGGATCGATTGCACAAAAGCTCCAGTGAAGTTGGGTATGCTTCTGTCTGGGCCTGGCCACACTTCATGTACATGGGTATTTTTATAAACCGCTTATTTTACCATCTGTTTGGGCATCTTGTGAATATGTAAACCTTTTTATGACAAGTTTGGAAAGTAAAGATGCTCTAAAGTAAGTGATTGCGTTCTAGTTTTTTACAAGGAAAGTAGCATTTAAAGGAACTGTATGTAGCCTGCACACTTGTTTTAAAGATACTATGATACTATGGACTGAGCCTGTGTTGCCAGAGCCTTAACCTGCAGATACACATCCAGGGCCTCAAGTGAAACTCAGAACCTCTAGAATTCCCTCCCTGAGCTGCAAAGGCTGCACTAGCACTGACTCAGGATTGGTGCAGGTGCTGGCCTTAGGGAGAGACTATTGAGATCAGAAAGAGACATTTTAGGTTTAAACACTGGATTTCAGCTTTGAAACTGGCAACTCAAATGAAAGAGTCATGTGAGGCTCTTTCTGCTCTCTGATTGGATAAACATGTTTTGTGATCCAAAACACCAAATTATAACTAACAACTTGTCTAATATTTTGTAATTCAGAATAAATCAGCATTATAATTCTTATTAATTAAAGCTATATTTATTTTGAACATGTTTGTGTTAATAACGTTTGAATCAAAATCATGCATACAGTTCCTTTTACACAAGGTAAAAATCTGTGGCTGAGGTTCAGATATTTTGAATGGACTGCCAAATTAACCACACAAGCGTAAGAAACAGCCCCTAAAAACTCATGTATTTTGATATAGGAAATGTATACTTGAATTTGCATATCTCCAAAACAATTGTGACACAATCCATTTTTAGATGTATCTCCTACCTCAACTGCACACAGCTTAAACTTGTTAGTTTGAATTTCTTAATCTTAAATGTCCATGTATGTGTGACCAGGCCCTACATAATGTTATTGATGGTGATGTTTGAGTTGGAAGGGTCTATGCAAAACTATTCTTACACTATTGAAATGGGACAATGTTCGGTTTAAACTCAACTTCAGGAAACTATAAAGTTAAATAATCTGTCATGTTTCTTCACTGGTGTAGTGCCTCAAGTAAGCATAGAATCACCAAACATCATTTTAAAAATGGACAATTTTCAAATTCACAACCAAAATTCAGGAAATGTTGGGACACTTTTAAAAATGTTATTAAAGATGCAGGTTTTCAATGTGCAAATCTATCCATCATTCCTGTATCAGAGTGTGTATCATCGGCCTCATGGCTTGGGGCAGCACTGGAGGTGGGGTGGGTTTGAGAGGGCACTAGCCTCCCTTAGAATGGCCTATGCACCCCCATAGCTCCCTCAGACATTTTACCTAATTTTCAAAGAACATTTATTCTCGACTAGAAATGTTCAGATGGCAACCACAGAGTTAAAAATGAGACTACTATAAACCTACAATTCCATATTAGGTTTTATCAATCACGACAGAGGCCAGCTACAGTTAAACTTGTTTAAAACAGCAAAGCAAACATGTTAACATATTAAGTGAGTACCCCCCATTGAACACTCTGGCACTCCCTTAGCTCCTCCAACCAAAAGTGTCTGGCAGCGCCCCTGCTCATAGCTCTTCTGCTCTCTAGACCCTGGGTTCTGTCCTCAGCCAATCAGAAAACATTTTACAGCAGTACAAAATGCCCCAGTAGGGATATGCCAATCCACCTTTTTCAGCTTTGATACTTTGACCCTAGTAGTACCAGGGTAGGTGAGGGGGGTGTTATTTAAAAATGTGAATATTTTGTGGTTAATTCCAAAGATTGAAATCTGAACTGTTAAACTAAGTCTAGAATCTCATGTATTTCAAAACATGTTTGTAGAGGTCTACACAGGATTAAGCAGCTTTTACACAAAAAAGACCCCATGGAGACACAGGGAGGGCATCTGACACACAGGGACATTTTGTTCTCTCATAGGACCTCATATTATCTTAAAAATAGCAGCACACCAAATCGTAAAACTCCCATCATTCATTATATGTGACTTTGTCCCAGCCTTTTCTGACTCGTTTTGGTTGCATTTTTTGACAGATTTGCTTCACATTTGTCATGTGTTTGAATCAGGGTTGGGCTCAGCTGCTGTTCTGTGCTCTTCAAGATTGTGATCTCAAATCTCAATGCCTCAAGTGCATTATTCACTAATTTTGTTGACAATTATTTGAAAATTATTTGGGCTTAAAGTGCCTATGACAGGAACTGACTATTGTCTAATTTCTACTTAAGTTGGTGGGAGAAGTTGGAGACATAATGTTGGATGTATAAATCATAGTTTTACATCAATCAAGAAGCAATTTGTGAGGAAAAGTTGAAAATATATTAAAATGACAGGAATAGAGAGTTCTCTTTTACAGGGTTCCATATGGTTGACGTCACACTGGGAGAATTTCACAATTTGTACACAAAAACATTTTTTTCTTATACTTTAAACATTATTTCAACAAAATAAAGGTGTTTTTTAAAATTTTTTTATCTGTCATATATTCATTTTTGTACAATAGAGGAGTCCTGGCCCAGTGTACCACATGGTTGCTAGGTAACAGTTCTGGAATTCCCTAGTGTGATGGCATGATTTCCAACCAGGAAGTAAAATTTTAAACCTAAAAAAAAAAAGACCAAACTGGAGAAAACATTAGAAACGTTTTAGTAAAATGTTATAATGATCTTAACTGTGTTTTTAGTCAAACGAATAGTCTAACCTACCATAGGCACTTTAATATTCTGAGGAAAACTTGACATTTTTGATTACTATGAGTACTATATAATGATAATATATAATGATAATGATTGCATTTTGAGCATCTGTAGATGTGTGAAACCAAATGTTGATTCTGGACCTGTGGCTCGAATGGATTTCAAAACAAAATGTTGTTCTTCAAATATTGGTGAGAAAAGTGTGTCTGAATCAGACACTTGTGAAAAGTAGAAAAAGAGTTTGGATTGTTACAAACACAGCACTGTAAAAGCACTGTGAACAGTTTGAGCAGAGGTGGTTTTCTCTATGACTTTGCCTCAGGTTTTGACTTCAAGATCCAGTACATCTCTTTAGACAGAGGGATCACTCTGCTCACCACTCGGTTTATTTCACTGAGTGATACAAGTGAAACCGAGGAGCTCACAGAGGTGATAAGAGTAGCAAGTGTAGAAAATGTTACTCAATTAAGAGTAATGTGGTCCAAGAAATTACTCAAGTAACTTAAAGAGAAACTGTCAAGACAAAAGTTAATGTAATTGGAAGAACACAACATTAAGTAAGTCACAAAATCTGGAGTTTTCACAGGACAGACACAAAAATGAGAAACACAAATGTTCAAATTGTTAACATAAAGCTTTTGTCACTTTAGACTTACAGTGTACTGTTACTTCACTAAAATATTACTCAAGTAGGAATAAAAAGTATGCTGCTAGAAAGTACTGTGAAAAGTACAGCTCATTGGTCACCAATCACTTTGAATAAATGACATTTCTTTCCTCTCAGATGAACAGGGTTTAGTGCTTCACTCATTAATTTTTCAAAAATGTGCTAAAACTGAAACAAAGTGATCGAGAAAGCCTCACAGTACAGGTGGAACGTTGTAAATAACATTATTTTGACCAATGCTCTGGACTCTTTTCATTGGTCAGTTCTTCATTCGTCAAAAGGCTGGCGTTTGTTCCAGGTCTGGACTTTATGGACTAAATTCTCACAGTGAGAAAAACCAAACAGCCAAATTGAGTGCGAGTGTGCTCCTAAAACACTGGCTCTGTGAATATGTTTGGATTTATAAGAAATGCTGAATGCGGTTTATTATTTAGACACTTGGATGTAGACATTAACCGTGAGAGTGTGCACATTTTCCTTTAGTCCTGAGTCATATGGTGCAAGAGCAGGGGTCACCAGGAGAGGGTGTGATAAAGGCATATCTGCAATGCACGGTTCAAAATCTCTATTAGGTCAAGTTAAATGGATAGGATTTGTATTTGAAGTACTTAAGGACCATGTGACTGCAGAATAAATATGAGCTAAATTTGAGGCATGAATTACCAGCAAAATGTAATTATTGTATTATTACCTACAATAGAATGTTATACAGTACAGCATTAGTAAAAAAAAAAAAACATGCATTCTGAGAGTGTATGCAGGCTCGCCTCTCCACAGAACTGAACTGCACCTTGGCCTGGTGGTGCCACCTGCTTGTGTCCTCGGTGATGATCCTTCCACCAGAGAAAGTTGTGCAGGTCAATTTTCTCCCAGACCCAATACTGATACTTTGCAGCTGATGTCTGTGAGGGTGTGGTGCTAACTGTAGGCACTGCTCTCTCTGTTAGTGGAAAATAAGAGGTGAGCCAAGTCTCACACATAAAATGATACAAGTTGGTCATTCTTTTTGATTTGATATTTTTTCAAACAATCTAACAACTTGGCTGTTTACTGGTGTATGCATTGTGTCACCATGGTAACTGCTGAGCATTCTGCCATAGACATACATACCATATACATGCTGCTTGATGTCACTGGCAAAGTATCAATCGAACCTAAAGTTATTTTTCTGTGCGTATGTGTAATTTTATACCATTGCACTAAATGTTTCAGGGATTATTCATATACTAGGTGTTCATAGAATTGCACCCATAGTTTCATCAGATGTTAATTTAAATGTTACAAAGTAAAGATCAAAAGTTGTACATATGCACTTGAATGTGGGCATATTTCACACAGCGACTTGTTGCTTATGCACAAACCAAATGGCCCTATCTTGCAATGGTAATTCTCTATTCTTAGACTAGCGGTGCCTCAAATCCTGGTGACTCCTGTCTTTGTGCTTTTCACTTGTACCTGGATCCTCCTCCTTCACCTGTGGCTGATTTCTGACCCTATCCCGGCTCGTATATCTCTCCATAGACCTGGTGTAGGCCTAATGCAGTCTGTGAGGGTTCAGATGTGTGTGGTGTAAGAAACATGTACTCACAATGTTCAATTAAAATGGAAAAAAGTTAAATCTATTCATGTGTTTTGTGAACCTAATTTACCAAAAGTTTGGACACTACCTCTTTATCTTTTTTTATTTTCTTAATACTTACGTTCTACAATTTAGATACATAAGGATGACTCAGATATATGAAGCAAGATCTTATGGAGTTGTGTAGCAAAAAAAAAAAAAAAAAGGCCAATCCCTTGGTCTGCTCTCAATCAGCTTCATGTGGTGTCACGGTTTGGAAATATCAAACTTGATTTTGATACTAAAGAATTTATACAAAACTCTATACCGATTCCGATACCCCAATGAAGATTTTTTTTAAAGATGCTTCTTTTAAGTAATAGAATGTCATTTTCTGTGCAAAATAATAGTGCTTTCTTTATGTTATCAGGTGGTCTTATATTTATTCTGATAAAGCTCAAAATTGCACTAAAAATGATCAGGAAAGGTCCAGTCCTGTTAATGTGATTTTTTTGCAGTATCGATAACTGCTCAAATGACTATCCAGTATCTCAGTGAGTTTATTTTTTGTTTATTACATTCCACATGTGTCATTAATAGTTTTGATGTCTTCAGTGAGACTCTAAATGTAAATAATCATGGAAATAAACAAGAAATATTAATCAAAAGTGTGTCCAAACTTTGGACAGCTCATGTATATTCCACATTACATGCTTTACTAGTAGTTTAGAGTTTAGAGTTTAGAGACTTACTCAGGCTTCCCACGTCCTGGAAATCTTGGAAAATAATTGGTCCATGTATTTTCCAGACAGGAAACACATGAAAAAAAAAAGTGGATATATATGCATTTTAAAATGTCTCATCCTTTCTTTGATGGATTATTGCACATTAAATAAACACAACATTTAATTTGATCAAACTGGTCACAGATTAGAGGAATGGGAATGAAAGTAGATAAAGGATTTCCCTATTTTTTGGTCAATAATGGTGAATAATCAAGACATTCTTCTCACAGTACTTCTAACAGCAACATTTCAAATAATAAGAAAAGCCTTTAATATCTTTTCATAAACGAGCAGCCCTAGGATCTTGTTAAAACTTAATAAAAATGAAATATATAGTTTCAGGTAATATGTTATAAACAGAGCATGTTGTTTTGAAGTATTTTACTAAAAAAACAAAAGCAAAACAAAAACACTGTACAGTGCTGTTTGGATATAAATATGTTCTTCAAAATATACAAATTATAAAATGTATAATTTTCATGAAACCTTATTTGAGTTTGTGGAAAGTTCAGACAGATTTTGTTCTTCTGACGTTGTAAAATGTAGATCTGAAAGAAAAGGGAAAAGTCAGACTCAGTTTGGACCACTTTACACTTTAAAACCTCTGATTATTTGTTAACGTATTCTGAAGTGACAGTGGCTCAGTGGTTAGACGAGTGCTCCCTTAATTCGGAGGTCAGAGGATCAATTCCCCAGGGCAGCTGTGGCTACAACAACATTAGCTCAGAGTAAATGAATATACAGTATAGTGCTTTGAGAGGCTCTGACAAGCCTGTAAAAGTACTTCACAAATGTAAAGCATTATTATTATTATTAGTAGTAGTAGTAGTAGTAGTAGTAAGAATAAGAATCAAAAAGTGTAACTACAAGTCTTAGAGACAAGTGAGTCGTGGCTGAGTGAGACTCACCTGTGTCTCTGTACTCCACGTTGGTGAGAAACAGTCCGTGCGCTGGAGCAGACAGGCCCTGGGGATAGGCACGTGAATCCTGGGCGTCGAGCACTTTCTTCAGGCTCAGCGGAGAGAGACTGCCCTTCCCCACAGCCACCAGAGCACCTGCCATCCTCCGCACCTGCACCAGGGACAGGGACACTAGCTCTTCATACAGTGTGTGGTTCATCTTTTGATTGTACTAGAGAATAGAGCCGCAAGACTAATCACAATCAAAATTTATATTGCAATGTGAATAAATTTAATTATCAAATTGCAAAGGCAATTTCTTAAACAACAAGAAACTCTCTTATTCTGCATTAAGAAAAACAAACAAAAACTGCTAATCGTCTAGTTTAGATTTATACAGACTTGCTCTGAAATGTGATTCTTGTATCAGTTTGTCAGTTGTTTTTTTTTCAGTTCTTCTGGACACATAAAAACGTGAATTTTGAACAAAATCATATTATTAAAACATAAATCGCAAATCTAATTGTTAAGTTCGATGAAAAATCATTTACTTCATCAGATTTGACTTTTCACCAGTAGATGGCGCTTCTCACGTGTATAATATTGTTGAAGTGGCACCACATACTCACCTGTTTGTAGAGGAAGGATTTGCTCCTGAAAGTCAGCTCCCAGAACGGGACATGTCTGAAAACAAAAAAAAACGTGACATCACAAGGTGGAACAGAGCATTCTTTAGCGATGTGGACAGACTAATAATAGAGCAGTCAGATTCACTGACCCACAGGTGGGTAGTGCAATTTCAGCTCATACAGATGAATGCTGTCGTTCTGTCCTTGAGACACTTAACCCTCCTCGCCCCAGTGTCTGTGCACCCTGGTGTAGAGTGTGTCGTGTGCCATGTGTCGTGTCTGTGTGAGTGGTTCCTTGATGTAAAGGGCTTTGAGCCGCGAGCGCTATAGAAAATGTGACCATTTTACCAGATGTGTGCTGTGTAACTTTTCTGTTGGGAGGTGTGCTGCCTGCTTGTCTGAGAGATGTTATTACTTAATCTCACATTTACTCAAAAGAAGTACAGGATTAATAAAACGTGAGTTTTATTGCTCCAAAATACATTGAATTCAGACCTGTAACTTTGCCTGCTTGTCTCCATGGAGATAGTTTAATGCCATATTAGGTACTTTTTACACTCTCACCTGTGGAAGTGGTTGCTTGTGAATGAGCTCCCAGGCTGAATGCAGATCTGGTCCATGGTTTTGACCGGGTTTTTGAACGGCAGGTCTGAGTTTATGGCTCTGAAACTGCTGAAGTCATGAGTGCCCTCCATCATGGCTGCAGCTTCACGCATTGAGTCTATGTCCAACTCCCTGACACAAAGAAGGAACAAAGACAAGCGAGAAGTGTCAAAGTCGGGATATCGTCTAATCTCAGAAGATGAGCAGGGCTGGACCTGAATGGGACACTGCTGGAAATATCAGCAGCCACAATGTGGAACTAGTGACAAAAACTGTTGTTGTGTCCAGTTACATAATTATTTTAGTATAATTCAGATAGGATTTAGATTTTATTTCTTAAGAATACATGAGGAATGTTTGGGTAATGTCAGCGTCTCAAATACACATTTTGCAGTATTGGTCTGCTTTAATCATCACGATTGATTTTCCTTTCTGGTTGTTCTAGATGAGCTCACGTGGTGCAGAGGTTCCAGCAGATCTCTGACTCGCTCAGAGGGATCTGGCTCTTGTCTGGTGCCAGGGCCACTCTGTACACATACGTCCTGCTCTGAGCCTGGTACCGTGAATGGAAGGCCAGAGACACGCGAACTGCACGAGTGATTCTAAAGAGAGGGGAGATAGGAACAGGGAATTAGAATTAGAACGTTTTATTAAAAACACAGAAGGAGTAAGAGCTTCAAAACAGAACAAGTGCCCCTCAAGGACAAGGCCCAAAGACAGTGAAGGTAACTGCTGTAGTATGAATGGTGGCAGCCTGAGAGTTGAAGAGAAGAGGAGGAGGTGATTTACATGAATACAGATCCAGCACAGAGACATGAACCATCAAAACTCTGTGAGAGAGTCCATTCAGCCTAGTACAGGCCAATCTGGCTCTGCTTCTGCTGTAGGCAGTATTATAGCTCTGATGACGAAACAATTCTAGTGAAGGGTGTCTGGAGTCTAAAAACACAGTGAAGCATGTTCTGTATTACCACATGACATCACAAGGTGGAACAGAGTGTTTTCAATTTGAGAGAAGAACTCAAACAAGGCTTAAGCCCAAGTTATGCTCGTGTGTCAGACTGTCTTCGTTGTGGACACCCTCCACAGAGCATCTGCGTCGACTGACGCGCACCTCCCAGATTTTGTAACTATGCATCGAAATGACGCAGGCAGCAAGGGAAAGCGACACAGACAATAAGGACTGTGATTGATCCTCTCTATCACGGCTTTTAAATCCTAGCCTCCTAGTGTTGTGGCAGTGAATTACTTCACGGCGCATAGACCTCGACGCAGATCCATTAAACAAAGGTGACAGCAGCAGTGTGCACTGGTCGACGCAACTATAATTATAAACTATAATTCAGCCTTAAATACAATAATGAAACAAAACACAACTCCAGGTCTGTTTGTGACGAGGAAACATAAAAACTTAAATAACAAAATAGATATGGGCCTTTAAATATTTTTGTTGAACTTTGCATGAATCATTCTACAGATACAAATGCAGAGTAAATGAGAAGTGAACTATAAAATGGTTAAAAGCTCTAAAAAGTGACTTTAGCAGAATGGGTCTGCTTTAAACTATGCTGACTTTATACTTTTGTGTGTGTGACCTGACCTGATGCTCTGCTCCTGCAGGTGGAAGTTAAGTGCGTCTCGCAGAACCTCCTCAGTGAACGGAGCCTTGTTTTTACGCTGCAGGTCAAAGTGGGCGGAGTTACTGAGAGCATGGACCCCCGTGTCTGTCCGGCTTGACACGTACAGAGACACGCGCTTCTCTGGCCTCAGCCTCAAAATGGCCGCCTGGAACAACAATAACAATATTCATTTTATCCCTTCCATCCATCTGCATTAAATATTACTGGCCTACAGCAAGTTGCTAAAACTTATCTTTAATTGTAATAGTTAAGGTTAAAGCCATAGTGTGTAACTTTTCAGCCAGAAAACAAAAATGACAAAAATGAAAGCGTGTTCTTTTTGTTGTGTTTCTTTATTGTGTTTATTGCACCGAAAAACATTAATAAAGCACACGTTCTTACTCTGAGTGGGCTTGCATCTCCACAAATTCGACTCTTATTTGGTTGTTCCTTTGGCTATAATCTTCCACATTATGGCATAAAAAGAATCTATCCCCATGGAGAATGTTCCAGAATATGTTTTCAAAATTCCATTTCCATAGAAACATGCAGGTGCCGTGCCACCTCCAGAAAGTTACATACTGTACATACTAGAGAAATCTGAAAAGAAAAAATTACTCACAAAGTGCACAACTATCAATTTATACCCTGATTTGAAAGATTACAACATACATTTGTTCTACTTTTAGTTTTCATTCATTATTATAACCAAAACACCCAATATTCAAATCTTCAAAACAACATCTACTGCACTGATCATTTGATACATTGTACACTTCGACATGTACCACTTTTGTACTTTACGTCATGATTTTAAGGAATTTATGTAATTATGTTATAATCAGACCCATGTATCTGTATCTGTAAGGATTGATTATGAACTAATTTAAAAGTCCCATTACAACTTGGTGCAGTATTCATTGAAACATTTATCATGTGAGCAAGGTCAGAGTGCAGTGTTTTGCCCAAGGACACAACAATATAGAATGTCATTAGTGGGTACCAAACCACAAATTGCTGGTTAGTGGGCAAACATCTCTAACAACTGAGGCACTGTGTATGTTGTTATATTAGACATACAATTTCAAATTCAATACTAAGGAATAGAAAGTTTATACTAAGGAACAGATTCGATACTCAATACAAATTCTGATACAAAAAAAATATATATATAATTAAAAACACAATTTCTTTAGACAACATACAGTGATTTCCCACATTAAATGGTAGAACTTTCTTTTCTATTCCATGTGTGTTATATGTGTGTAATGGTCAGTGGTGCAGTAGGTTCATGTTGGTCCATGTGTGTATACTAGTCTATGTGCTCTGACACTTGTTCTGATCCAACTCAACATCATTCTAAACACATTCAGGAAAACTTCTGCTCTGTCCTGTCAATGGGACTTTCTTTTTTAGTATCGATACCTGCTCAAACGAGTAGTCTGTCTACTTTCGATACTAGTTTAAGTATCGATGAGCCTAATAATGGATTATTATTTGTACCCAGTGTTATTTCTTACCTCTAAATGGTCTTGTACGCCTTTCTTATTCAGCTGGTGCGGAGGCACTTTGACCACTCCACTATTAACGTAAAATGACACTTAGCCAAAAATATGGGCATCATTTTTACGAACCATAATTCAGTTTTACCAACCTGTATTTAGTCCCGATGTATTGAAAGAAGATTAAATAACGAGCCAAGTTGTTGTGCATTGCCCTTGGTGCTCGTGAGTGAGAGGAAAAACGTTTTCAAACTTGATTTTTGCGCAAAAATAAGCTAACAAATATAGCACATAAACAGCGGCAGTGTTTATTTTGAACAAGCTGAGAAAGTTTGGCCAAGTGTTCAAAGTCACCAGAGAGAAGACGCATGTGGGCAGTAGCAAAACACAATGCTTCCGGGATTGATTTGTAGTCCGGAAGTAAAAACTCACTTCAGAAAACGACAGCGGATTGAAAATAATCAAAAACGTTTTTTCTTTTTTTTGTTCTTCTACATTTACAATACCACGTTAACAAAAGAACAACAAATACAATTTGATTTTAGTTAAACTAATTAATTAATTCATTCATTCATTCTGGTTTATTAAAATTGCATGCTGGACCGAAAATTGCACTGACCCACCCAATGCATATAGTGTAACAAAACTTTATTTAATCAAAAATAATACATTACACAAGCCTGAGTTTTTGTTGATATCCGACAAAGGGCCGTTTTTCATCCCAGATATCAGCACATCAGCAACATCATGAAGTGAAGCACCAAATTCTGGGCCCTAGGAATGTTGGTGGACCCACACTACATGTTGTCTATTAAGAAGATGTCTATCTTTACAATAAAGACAGCAGCATTAGTAATTCAATATGTTATAAAAGAATAAGCTATTTGTGATTTTCATCTCAGCCCAAATGTCTCACCATCACAGACTTTTTCATTTTAAACTAGTGGCTCTATTGGCTCTCTATCCCTCCATACGAACACAGCAGTGACCTTCAGTCATACTTTGGTTAGCCTTTTTTAAAAGTCTAACTCAATACCAAATTAATGTTTTGCTACTAAACTGTACATATAGTGTTTTAATATCACTGTTTATGGTTCTTTGTCTACTTTTTTGGGGGGCAATTTTAGTGCAAACTCTGTGAATATGCAGCTTTCTGGTCAAAAATGTCTAAAACTCAGTATGTGCTGCCTTCAGCGGCCATCGCAATTTGAAGTACGATGTGACATCACACAGGACAGTCTAAATTACAGCCAGATGTTTCTGATACAAACAAGTGTGGATACCAGTTAGACCAATCACACTGTTCCTTATCCCCCCAGAGCTTGTTCTCCCTCACTCTTCCCCACTAATAAGGATTTCTACATATATTTTTCATAAAGCAAACTGGAAACATAACTTTAAATGTTTAATCTGTATTGGTGAGCTATTGGTAGATGAGCTAAAAGGCATCATGGGAACTGTAGTTCATATGGTGTCATACATTTTATCTGCTGGGAACTATAGAAATCGTCAGAACCTGATTTGGTCCATCGACTGTGGTGGGTTTGAGAGCCCTGATCTAATGAACTGTCTAATTTTGGGAAGGCAAAGTTTCCAAGGTCACATGAATGCAGCATTTTATGTGCATCGAAAGCAGACTTAAGAGGGAATGATATACCGCAGGCTGAACAGCTGTATGACCTTTCACCTGCGTGTGTCCCCATGTGGGCTTTAAGATTAGACTTTTTGGCAAATGTTTTATCACACGTCGAGCAGCTGTAAGGTTTCTCACCGGTATGTGTTCTCATATGGAGATCCATGTCACAACGTCTTAGAAATCCTTTCATACAAAATGAACACCTGAAAGGTCTTTCTCCTGTGTGTGTTTTCGTGTGGGCATCTAGATTAGACCTTTGAGAAAATGTTTTCTCACAAAATGAACAGCTGTAAGGTTTCTCTCCTGTATGAATTCTAATGTGAGTTTGTAAGTGATCTTTTCTCTTAAATTTCTTATTACAAACAGAGCATTGGTGTTTCTTGCTTTCAGCTCCTTCGACTAATCCTGACATGTCTCCATTATTCACAGTGGCTCTGGTCTCTGGGGCAGACTTGTATTTGGGGGCTAGACCTGAGTTTGGTGCAGTGGTGCTTGTGGCTGTGATCTGGACTTGGCTGTAGTGGTCTCCATCAGCCTCTGTCTCTATGTGTGCAGCTGAACAGCTGAATGGAGTTGTCCAGTCTTCATCATTGTCAGTGTCAGAAAAGTGTTCTGTGGGTCCCTCAGTCTCTGAGTGTAAATGTGTCTCTGTGCTCATGTCCTCTCCCTGGGTTTCCTCTCTGGCCTCACTTTGTCTTTGTTGAAGCAGTGAGGACTCTTCTGTCTTCACACTGACAACACTGGACTCTGGAATACTCCTGAAAATAAAAAAACACGTTTAGAATAGTTCCAAATACACAGCAAAGGCTGCAGTTATCGAGGTGATATAATGTTGTCTACAGAGGAAATGGCTTCACGTCTATGGTGTGTACTGTGTATAAATGTGCTAACCTGGTGGTTCACACGTGTATAGTGCTCACAGAGCCTCTGAGTAAACAGGAGTTAGAAGTGTGTAAATGATTGAGGCTTACACTGGTTGCTGCTCTTCCTCCTGTTTGAGGCTCTGTTCCTCTGGCTCCTCTTTAATCTGTGGAGTCTCTGAGATTTCCTGGTTTAGACCTGGGCCAGGACTGAGGGAGGGCACCTGGACACCTGAAAGAGAGAAGGGAAACAACATGTCAAACTAACTCTGAGTTTATGTTAATATAGTGATTATTATAATGAACATTGATGTTAGTAGGACAGTTTAGAGATGATTTGGTTAACGTTAATATTATGATGCCCATTTTGAAAGTTCATGCCAAGTATTTTATGATAGGAGAGACAGAGGACACCCTGAATATTCTGCATTTCATCCAAAGCCCACTGTCCCAAAGGCCTACTGTAAACAAATAAACTGACCTTAAACCTAATCCTAACCTTAACCTGATTTGTTTATTTGTTTATCTGAGACAAGGACAACACACAATTTTTACATTAACCTTAACAGGAGAGATGCATTATGACATTGATTATCATCTGTTCTTCCTGGAGACCTGTAGCATGTTTTGGGTTGGAACCTGGGGATCGAACCCAGAACCTTCTTGCTTGTGAGGCATGAGTTCTAGGCACTCATCCACTGGGACGTTGCTAGCACAACAACCAATGCAAAGAGCAGTGTTGCTAGTTTAGTTCCAGTTCTACCACCCATAATTCTAAAGAGAAGTGAGAAGGACAGGTGAGGCCGGTCATCTCAGTGCAGTGGTCTGGGTGCAGAATCTGGATCTGCAGATTTATAATATGATTTTATTGCCCGCAAACTCTTTGTTTATTTGGCCCAAATTGCCAAAGGCAACACTTTGTACCAGTGTTGTGAATTTAGATATGGAGGAAAAGGCTCAAAATAGGTTGGGGTGGCAGTAGCTCAGTTGGTAGAGTATTCACCCACCACTCTGAAGGTTGGTGGTTTGAATCCCACTCTTGACATAAAAACAACATGGGTTGAGCAGTCAGATCCACTGACGCACAGGTTGGCTGATGTGAGTCCAGCTCCCACAGATGAATACTATTGTTGTGTCACTTAACCCACCTCGCCCCCAGTGTCTGCTGTGTGAATGGGTGAGTGGTTCCTTGTTGTAAAGCGCTTTGAGTGCCTTGAAGGTGAAAAAGCGCTATAGAAAAATGTGACCATTTACCATACTAGGTACTAACACGACAATGATTTAAAAATTTGTTTTAGGCAACAGGATCTTGTGCAACTTCTGATTTGAAGACCATTTTAAAACTAATTGTTGTCCTAAATACTCTCTGTAAGTACTTCAATTTTAAATGAATATGTACTATATTTCTACAATGCTATAGTATCAATGGGAATCGCGTTGAAAGTCAGCCCTCCTGTACAACTGTGCTTTATAATGCAAATATAAACCTAAATCACAAACGTTTTGGACTGTGGTGTGACACTCTAATAGCAGTAGTGCCTCACAACAGATGCAGTACTCACAGTATCTGTAATGAAGATGGTAACAGGCAGTAGAAGCAGGACTGATTTAGTATAAGTTAATATCATGAATTAACTGCTAAAAGTACTTAGGATGATGCATTACACCGCGGCGGTAAACTCACTGAAATAACAGTTAAACATGTAATTTAAAAGATATACGTAGTGGTGAGTTGTATGTGTGTGTGGAGGAGAGACTGACCCGCTCTGAGCAGCACGACTCTCGGGTTCAGAGCCTCCAGCAGCTCCTGGTTTCTCTGGTTCTCTTGTTTGGAGAGGCGCAGTTCCTCCTCATACTCCGATATCGTTCTTTCAAACAGCGCAAATATGTCTTCCGCAGCCGCAGTGAGCCGCTCCTTCACCAGAGCTCTCAGAGTGCGTCTTATGCACATTTTCACCACAGCTCCACTCACTGTTTTTAGCTTTAGCTCCGAGCTAACCTCCACGAGACTGAGCCGCCACCTGTTCTGCGCATGCGTGACTCTCCAGCCTGTGCCGGCACACAGCGCCACCTGCTGGACAAGAGTGTGTACTTTATGTCACAGAGGATGGAACAGGAGAGCAGAGGTCCATGGACCAGAGATTAAAAAAATAAAATTGGAGACTGAAGTAAGTACCGGTGGCGGTGGAAACGGGGGTAGACTGGAGCAATCTTGAATACAGGAGAATACATTTCACAAACATCACTCTAAATACAACTTCAAGTGAAAAGCGAAACAACTGTCACATGGTTAAAAGCTCTGAAAAGTTAATTTTTGTATAATAGATCAGTTATAGTTAAAGGTGCATTGTGCAACTTTTTCCGGTGGAGGGCCTATCAAATACTTTTATCTCCATGGATGTTATTGCTTTGTCTGTAATGTTTCGCAGTATGGCATTAAACCTTTCTATCTTTGTGGAGACCAAACCAGACCAAGTTACAGATCAGACTTGTGGAGTGGCGACCCTGCTCACAGTCAGAATGCCTCTTTTTTTTTTTTTTTTTTTTTTTTTTTAAGCTATAAAACCACATGTAATTTGATAAATGTAAGACAGCACAGTTTAATCTCATACTGTGGAACATTCCAGGCAGAGCAATGACATATCCATAGAAACAACCAGGTGATGGACCCCAAACGAAAAAATTACATAGTGCACCAGTAAGTCCTTTTTTCAGAAAGGTTCAGTCCTTTCACAGACCTGGTTTAGTTCTGATGGTTCTTGTGTGAAAAGTATGAGATCCACTGCTCTCCTGTCCCATCCTCTGTGGCATAAAGTACACACTGTGGTCCAGCAGGTGGCGCTGTGCACCGGCGCAGGCTGAAGGGTCACGCATGCGCAGAACAGCTGGCGGCTCAGTCTCGTGGTGGTAAAGCTAAAAACAGTGAGTGGAGTTCATGGATCTATAATGATTAGTTTAATTAAATATGATTTAAATGATTTTCTGACAGTGCTGTGGTGAAAATGTGCATAAGACGCACTCTGAGAGCTCTGGTGAAGGAGCGGCTGACTGCGGCTGCGGAAGACATATTTGCGCTGTTTGAAAGAACGATATCGGAGTATGAGGAGGAACTGCGCCTCTCCAAACAAGAGAACCAGAGAAACCAGGAGCTGCTGGAAGGCTCTGAACCCGAGAGTCGTGCTGCTCAGAGCGGGTCAGTCTCTCCTCCACACGCAGATGCTACAGCACAAATGTGTTTCTTTTATTATTGATTTTAAAAGTGTCATCTTCTGTTCCAGTCATAGACTGTAAATGTATAGGGACATAACTAACGCCGCCTTCCAAAGAGGAAGTTCTCATGAGGCTCTTTCGGCTCCTTCTGACCCTGGCTCATTGACTTACACTGGAATATACTCTCTGTAATTACTGTTGTGAGCCTCATCATTTTAGTGTTAAAATGTTCATATTAACTCTATTGTCCTCTTCCTAACACAGAGCCTGGCTCTAGAGTCGCTCCTGTAACCTTGAGCATCACGAGCTTCATTCTTCATACAGACTCAGATCTGAAAGGTTCATGTCTATGACACAGACTATGACACAGTCTATAATACAATCTATGACTCAGTCTATGACACAGACTATGATACAGGCTATGGTACAGACTATGTCTATGATACAGACTATTGTCCCACACATAGACAGTCTCTGGTCCCAAACAAGACACGCCGCAGCAGACACAGGGTGTGAGGAGCAGAGGCTTCTAGCCCACTTTTATAGTTTGGTTTTGTAGCTGCGTAATAATTACAAATAATTAATAATTACATTAGAAATAATCACAAATAGTTGGTTGGACAGGGACAGCAGATATGACATACATACACATAATTCCATATCTATTACCTAGCAACCATAATTTTAACAAGGGCTAAAAAAAAAGCATAATAGTTAGTTAATAATTTGACAAATAAAAAGAAATGACAACATCTTCATTTTGTTAAATCAGCATTTAATCTGTCAGAAAAATGCCTTTGTTGTGCATAAATTGTCTCTACATTTTGGATGGAATTTTTACACTCAATCTCGTCAGTGTGACAGCACAGCAACTAAAAGGCCATAGTACACCAGAAACAACAAGGCATAACAGTCATTATAAATGTGTAGTTTGCTCCACATATAGTTTCCCCTTCTTTTGCAGATGTCCAGATGCCCTCCCTGAACCAGGAAATCCCAGAGGCTCCAGAAATTAAAGAGGAGCCAAAGGAACCAAGCATCAAACAGGAGGAAGAGCAGCTGCCAGTGTAGGCCTCAAGCATTTACACACTTGTGTTATTAACAAAGATCGCAAATAACACACGTTAAAGAGGGGGTATTAGGCAAAATTGACTTTTTGGAGCTTTCCTCCATGTTATAAGAATCCTTCTTCAAAAACATGCCTGAAGAGGTTCTACATTTCATTCATGCATCTTTGAGTAAGTGATCTCTCCTGGGCCCTATTCAAACCCTCCTTACGTTAGCAGGACGATTCAGTCCATTGCTCCTCCCACAAGTCTGCAAACCCCATGCACAGGCTTGGGTGACTTAAATCAGGCTTATTCTGCAAAATGTACAAACGTACAGTAGTATGTCCGTAGCTCTCACAAACCCTTTAGCACGCTGTTAATTTCCTTTAAGTCTTTTTAAAACTGTCAGACAGTGAAGTAAAAACAAGGCAGCTAATCAGAGCACTGCTTTTGCAGCAGGTGCCTGGCACCTGCACTGTGTCTGAAGAAGGCTGCAACACATCTAATTCTGCCCAGCAGTCTGGCCACAGATGGTACTTGAAGTGCCTTTTGTGATGCGAGGTTTAGGCTGTGCGCAAAACACGGAATGTGGGTCATGTCTAACAGCCCCGCCACCACAGCCGTGTCAGCAGCTTTATCCGTGACAACGACAGGACTCTTAGTGTTCAAACCCTGTTCAGTCACAGCTTCACGGAGTACAGCCGTTTTCTCCTGTGTGTCTTTCAAACATTGGCCATATGGGGGGAGAAGACAGAATGTCACGAGATGAGACAGGAGATAGGGTCCACGAGATTGAGATGAGACGAGATTTTGAATATTTGAGAGAATCTCTATTTCTGACACAAATCTTACACTTTTAATTGTGTTTCATTGAGTTTTCATGTGGATGGTGTAGAGTCCCAAATATAGTCACAGACCAAATGTGATCTTTTTGGCCCCTTCTTTGGACCCTCGGTTGCCCATGTGGGCACAGTTAGATGTTGATAAAATTTTTACCAGAGAAACTTGGCATATTCTGATTAGTTTAAAGTAATAAAAACATCTACTATTAACTTCCCTCATTTCAAACTGAATTTTTGAAAATGAGTTCTCATAGGTCATTTTTGGTGGAGTTTAGGGACTTTTCCACCTGCTAAAAAGGTTCAATTACCTTTAATAGACTTAAACACTAGTTGCTTGTTTTAAGGGAAGACAATTGGAGATTATTTGTGGTTCATTGCTTGTGATGGTTTTGGTGGCACAGTAAAATGCTCGGCTGCAAGGACTAGTCTGCAGACAACTGACAGCACTCAAATATTGACCACAGTCCAGATGTTTGAGTGAGCTTCACAAAACATAAAGAATATAAAGTTTTTCTTTACAAGCTATAAAGACATTACAAACCATGAACTTACTTCCAAACTAGAAGAGCGCCACAGCAAGACAAAGACTGTGAATGATACTAGATCACACCACAGTTTCATTCCGGTGTCAAATGGTAAATTAGAAATGAGGAGAATATCTCAAGATACTTTATGTACTGAAGTGTCAGTTTGTGAAATACAAAATGAGATTGTGCAGATTTCCAGTGTTGGGAGTAACGCGTTATAAAAGTAACGAATTACAGTAATGCATTACTTTTTGCTGTAACGCAGTAATGTAAGGCATTACAGGGGAAAAAATAGTAATATTTTACTCGGTACAAATGTGAGTAACGCGCGTTACAATGTTTTTTTAACCTGGATTGAAGTGGTGGGTTTTTCTTCATACAAATTCGCTAAAATCACCTCGATATCAGCAGCGGTGAAACGCCGGAGATGCGCCCTCATAGACCTTCAGGTAACCGCGGGCGAAAGGACTGACAAAGAACTCCACGCTGTTTAGACCTGGTTTAGACCTGGGTCAGTTCTGGTTTAGACCTGGTTTAGACCTGGGTCAGTTCTGGTTTAGACCTGGTTTACACTCGTCCCTCCCTCTATCGCAGTTCACTTTTCGCTGTCTCGCAGATTTTTATTTTTATTTATTTTTTTTGTGTGCAATTTTGCATGCCCAGTTTTTTGTTTTTTTTTACATTGTATGAATGCGTATTGTGTCCCTCCCGCTGCATCCTGACTGGCCAAGGGACTCCTGTCTCCTGTACAGTACAGTACAGAATGTGTTCAGCTGCCAAATTTAAATACATGTTCAGTCTCTAGCAGTGTGATTCTGAAGTGCTGTACGGTTGCAAGTTTTCTCCCCGACGAAACCCACAACGTCGACGAAACGTTCTGCACCGACAAAGGCTCCTGCGCTCGCACCCAAAAGGCAGAGGAAGATGCAAACCATCACACAAAAAGTTGGGCTTCTGAACACGCTGAAGGAAGGTAGAAGTTACGCGCTGTAACAGACTCTTGCACCGGTTCAGGTACCTGCAAATAGTTGCTGAAATCAGGGCCGCGAGCCCGAGCAGCAGGGTCCATAAAGAGCGATCAGATGACAGCCGCTCTTACCTCCGTGAGGTGCGGAGCAGAGCCGCTCCTTTCTCCTGCGGTCACCTTCGAGCCCTTCCCTACAGTGAGTCCTGTTTTAGTCCTAGTTCAGTTCTAGTTTAGTCCTAGTTCACTTCTAGTTTAGTCCTGGTTCAGCTCTGGTTTAGTCCTGGTTTAGACCTGGTTTAGTCCTGGTTCAGTCCATATACAGCGCAAAAGTTATTTTGGTGAGAGTAACTTAAAGTAATGCAATAGTAATGTAATGCCTTACATTTTAAATGCAGTAATATTGTAATGTAACGAATTACTTTGAAATGACAGTAATAGGTAATAAATAACGCATTACAGTTTCAAAGTAACTTGCCCAACAGTGCAGATTTCTCTCTGTACCAGCAGGTCAGTACGGTGCATTTATTTATGACATCAGGTGGTTCATTGGGAATATTTCAGAATGTTCAGATGAACATGGTGATGTCTATGTGAGATTCATGAATGGAGAAGCAGAACCCTCATGTGTCCTCCTGAACATCAGAAGAACCATGTTGGGTCCCATTTCAGAACATAATCTGTTGTATTAAGGTACAAGAAGTTTAGAGAAGAAGCGGACAAAATTATTGCCTTGACCCTGCAGATTATAACAAGATCCAAACATTACTTCTGAAGTTCATTACTAGTTAGGAACACTTAGTGTACATGACACCAACAGACATGGTCTACATGGAGGTGGCAAAGCACCAGAGTGGACAGATTTTTCCAGTATATTGGTATTTTCTGCTGAGGTTGTTTTTCACACTGAATTTTTAAAATGTAATTTCTAGCAGGTGAACAAATAACCTCAGATTCAGATTATTGTATTTTGGTAACTTTTGTGTCAGTAACAAATTTTTTCTTGTTAATGTTACTACCTTCTTGTAATATTTTTGTGCTAAAATAATATACATATGGTGGAACTGAAAGCCATGGTTACAGAATCAGAGACTTTGTGATTTAACAGGCAATGAGTTTTCCAAATGTAATTTTCCTTTTAATCAGTTTCCATCGATCCTATTTTAACTTTTGTTGTTTTAATTATACATCATGAAATTTCTTTGTGAGATAACAAATTATCTTTCACAAATAAAAATAGAATAAATAATGCAAACAAACCTTTTTTTTGTAATTTTGTACAGAGTTAATAGTTGAATTTTCTCAAAGGATTAATGACACTTTTCCAAAGAATGTGCCACAAATAATCTCCAACTGTCTTTCCTTATAACAAGCAGCTAGTGTTTAAGTCTATTAAATGTAATTGAAGCTTTCTGTCAGGTGGAAAAGTCCCTAAACTCCACCAAAAATGACCTGTGAGAGCTAATTTTCAAAAACTCCGTTTGAAATGAAGGAAGTTGATAGTAGATTGTTTTATTAATTTAAACTAATTAGAATATGCCAAAGTTTCTCTGGTAAAAATTTTATCAGCATCTATCTGTGCCACATGGAGAACTGAGGCTCCAAAGAAGGGGCCAAAAAGATCACATTTGGTCTGTGACCATATTTGTGTCTCTACACCATCCACATGAAAGCTCAGAAAAGTGTGAGATTGTTCTCAGAAATAGAGGTTCTCTCAAATATTCAGGTTCAACAGTTAGTTTGTAAATATCTGCTTGCAGTAAATAGTTCTTGGACCTCAAAAATAAAAAAAAGTAAATAAAATGAGCGGCAACCACATGTGAGATTTTGGGGGCCCACAGCACCACCCTTAATAAAGATGCTCAATATTTGAAAACAATCAGAATTCAGAATCTATGACCAAGAATTTACAGTAACACAAAATTTCAGCTTCCTAGCTCTAGTTTTCATGAAGTTTTGGTCTCTCAAACATAAATTAAGGCTTCAGAAAAAGTGAACATGGCCCCAGAATTTCCACGGGCCATAACTCAGGAACGACTCAAGGGACTGAGCTAAAATTTGAGATTCTTTCATTTGGTGATTTTAGAATTTTTTTCAAATTTTTTCAGCTGTCCATGGGTGAATTAGATGCCACTATATTGGAGTATGTTATTTCACAATCTTTTTCTGCCAATTTGTGCACTGATTATCTGCGTCAATATTGGTCCCATAAGAACTGTGACTGAGTTTTAAGTGTTCTCTGTCTGAATCTGTGACATACCCGTCTCTCTGTGGAGGAGTCTTTTAGCTACAGCTGCTCTAAGATATGAAACTTTCCAGAGCTTGAGCGAGGCACATAACCCTTTTCTAGGATTCACCCCAGGGCACCCTGCAGATCAGGACCATGTTAGAGTCCTGGGAAGGTTCCTGAATGAATTGGCATGTTATTGAACTCATTTAGTTTAATGTCACCTAATTTACCTAGATGACATTTGCTGTATCCTATTTGGAACTATTCTAATAGTATTTTTGATTTTCAGGAGTATTCCAGAGTCCAGTGTTGTCAGTGTGAAGACAGAAGAGTCCTCACTGCTTCAACAAAGACAAACTGAGGCCAGAGAGGAAACCCAGGGAGAGGACATGAGCACAGAGACACATTTACACTCAGAGACTGAGGGACCCACAGAACACTCTTCTGACATTGACAATGATGAAGACTGGACAACTCCATTCAGCTGTTCAGCTGCACACATGGAAACAGAGGCTGATGGAGACCACTACAGCCAAGTCCAGATCACAGCCACAAGCACCACTGCACCAAACTCAGGTCTAGCCCCCAAATACAAGTCTGCCCCAGAGACCAGAGCCACTGTGAATAATGGAGACGTGTCAGGATTAGTCGAAGGAGCTGAAAGAAAGAAACACCAGTGCTCTGTTTGTAAAATGAGATTTGTGAGGAAAGACCATTTACAAAGACACTTACGAATTCACACAGGAGAGAAACCTTACAGCTGTCAAATCTGTAAGAGATCATTTTCACAAAAAGGAACATTAATTCTACATAGAAGACAACATACTGGTGAAAAACCATTCAGCTGTCCAACCTGTAAGAAAACATTTACGATGAAGAGTAATCTAAATAAACATTCAAAAATACATACAGGAGAAAAACCCCATGGCTGTTCAAACTGTGATAAAACATTTCACAATAGAGCTGATTTAACTAGGCATAGAAGAACACACACAGGGGAAAAACCATTCAGCTGTCCAACCTGTAAGAAAGAATTTACATTGCAGAGTAATCTAAATAAACATAAAGGATTGCATACAGGAGAAAGACCTTACAGCTGTTCAGTCTGTCAGAAGGCATTCACTCAACGTTGTCATCTCACTTCACATGTAAGAATACATTCAGAAGAAGGACCTTACAGCTGTTCGGTTTGTCAGAAAGCATTCAGTGAACATCGTTATCTCGCTTCACATGTAAGAATACACTCAGAAGAAAGACCTTACAGCTGTTCTGTCTGTGATAAAGCCTTTAAATTTAAGGGTGTTCTGTTTCAACACACACAACGTTTTCATCCAGGCGCACTGGAGAACTTGCCTAGTCTACATCTACATTTAAAGAATTGAAGGTGCACTAGTCTACACAATGCATTATTGTTTAATTAGATTAAAGAAAAACATTGTGTAAATTGCAATTGTACTTTTTTTTAATTTGTCTTCAAAACCCTGTTTGGCTTCTCTCGCTCTCAGACCTGTTTATGTGAGCTGTATTTTGTAAGTGCTGAATAAATAGATATATAAATATGTGACAGTGTATTTGCCCTCTGCTCATGTCGCTTATAGAGATGGCTCTAGGCACCAACACAATAGTGCAATTGGTGATTTGTAATTGAAGTTACTCCAGTTACTTTCTCTGGTTATTAGTTACTTTCAGTCACTGTAACTACAACTAATTACTTTTCAGATTCTTGCCCAACACGTGTATTAAGGTCACATTTGAGCTGTAGAGGGTTCGTTTAGTTACTTAGTTTAGTTTATTTTCTTCAGTCAATTAACATGGATCATACATCATATTACAATTATTTAACACAGAAATTATACATATCACTAAAGATTTTCTACAGACCAAAGAGGTTCAGGCTAAACACTTATTTTGCCAAACCCCATTAACATATAGAACAGGACAGAAGACAGCAGAACTTTTTGCAGAAAACAACACAAAACTCATCTTTTAGGAGTGCATTAAAGAATATGTACGTAATTCTTTTGGTGTACACGCATACACAATACAGACACACAATCCAATACACATCAGTGTTTATACACACACTGACCCATGTACACGTTAGTATTATATATAAATACACAGACACAGATAATTAATGCTTACCAAGTAAATTCTATGGCTCTTTTTGTGTTTGTCAAAAAAGTTTTACTACTATTCTCCTGCTTTGTGTCAGTGACATCACTTTTATTATGATGGTTTACTGTAATTTTTCTCTGTAGTGATGTATCATGCTTCAAAATGTGCACCACATCACATAGTGGAACTGTTAAGGACCAAAATAATTAGATTTTATGGTACAAGCATGAAACTTTGCCAGATTAGTAACACCCCCAGGACTATAATTTCTGGATATGGAACCAAGTCTAATTCAACACTGAAGCTGAGACCTGCACACGACACAAAATAGACTACATGAAAATGAGGCTGGCATAAAAAACACTACATAATCCCTTTCTTATTATCTAATTTGCTTAGTTATCCATTTTGTAATGTTGAACAACTATTTTTCATGAACTCCAAAGCATTAAGGAGGTCACATGACCGCTTTCCTCCAATATGTAAGGGTTGTGTGGGTTCTCTCTGGTTGAAATTCAAGTTAATACAATATTTTATCTTTCAAAGCCATATTTTTGGGTTTTTTGATAAACATTTAACCATCTCTAGTGATCTGTAAATGCCATATCATATTTCATAATGATAATTAAATGCTGCATGGAAGCGACGCTTCATCTCAAACACTTAGAGATTTACCTTAAATTGTTAAACTTATTCAAAGTGCTCTAAGTGCAGCTGCTGCCACATTGGCATGAATCTGTACATGTTAAATTTGTCTTTGCATCATCCAGCACAGGCTTCTGTATCCACACTTGATAAGTTCATAGCATGTGTCCTGCTGGGGGAGCGTGGTCCATAACGGTAACCAGTGACTGTCATCACACTTCCATCCCCAGTCTGCAGGCTGGGCAGAGCTGGTGTCTTAAAATACTAAAATTCTTAATGGTGCATTATAACTTTTCTGGTGGGGGGTCCACAACCTGCTTCTTTCATGAAGATGTTATAGCTTTGGCTGGAATGTCCCACTGTATGGCATTAAACATATCTGTCTGTGTTTATTCATTTAAGAACTGAAAATGTGTTTATTGCACAAATACATAAAATACAGACATTCTTCCATTTAGCAGGATCTCTTACTTGTCACCAGGGAAATGGATAAGGTTAATGTCCATACTGTGAAAGCAAAGCAATGACATCTCCATGGATACAAGCAGGTATCTTATCTTCCACTGGAAATGTTCATCTTTAAAGACTTTAAATTTGCATTGTCCTTTTACACAGCCTGCATATCTCACATTATGGGGAAAAAAAACAAAAAAATATTATTTCAGCAGTTTAAGCAACTTTTTTTTTTTTTTTTTTTTTTTATTTGACTTTAATTTTAACATTTGAAGCTAAAACATTTGTGAAAAATTTGTGGTTTTAATAATGGGTTTATATCTTTATTACAATCCATATCTCACTGTAGTACAGGTGTGAACAGAGCCTCCTCTTTAGATTAGATTATAGTCTGAACATCTGCAGATCATTCCAGATCGAGAGATTGCAATGAAAATACGACACCATTTTAAAACGAGGTCGAATCTCACCTTAATTTTGGTCATAATCCCAAATCACCATCGCCACAGTTTCAAAGGCGTTCTCAGTCTGGTGTGGGATCACTGGAATGAGCCGTCCTCCTCTGCTCTTGTCATTATTGTTATTATGATACTGTGATGTGTTTTCGGGGGTAAATTAATTTAGTAAGTAAGTCTTAATTTATATCAACAACAAAGATGCTGAACAGAGCTTTATTCATTCACTCCATATCCAGTGATGGTAAACTAAAATTGTCGCCACAGCTGCCCTGGGACAGACTGATGGAAGCGCGGCTGCCATGCCAATCTGCGCCATCGGCCCCTCCGACCACCAACATTATTCACATACACATCACTTTCATACTCACTTGGCAATGTGGATGAAGTGTCTTGCCTAAGGACACAACTGGTGCCCCACTGTGACACCTGATTTTCCCAGTGGTCTCCATCCCAGCACTAACCAGGCCCAGACCTGCTGAGCTTCTGATATCTGACGGAATCAGGTTTTGACAAGCTGGTATGGCCACTTATGGCTACACTTTGTGATGGTTGTGGTTTATTTGTGGCACACGTCAGATTTAAATGTGTTACCGCGACCCCTTAAAAGACAATGTAAGAACAAATGTTTCTTATCTAACATTCATTTATTGTGGTAAGATATGGTAATAATAAAAGGTATGATATGAAGATATGATAATAAAATGCAAGGTCATTTATACACAATTTAACAGAGAATTTTTAGGCATAAATTTGT